TTGTGTAGAAGCTGAAACGTGTGGTCCAGAAATGCAATCTTCCTTGGCTACCAGAACCAGGTACTCTATAGTTGTACTTCTTGTGGGTTGCACATACCCATGGGTTGTGATAAGGCTACAGCTGCTGTACAGAGATGGTGAAGCATGAGGCCTTTTCTTGAACTGTTTGTAACTCAACCCCTGCACAAGGAGAGTATAATTTTAGCCACTTGCTCATCTCATTGTTTCTTGGTCTCTGTGTGGGGTAGGCAAGGTCTTTGGGCACTCATTTGTTCGGTTTGTGGCTAGTATGTTGCACAGGGAATGTGAATCTAAGGGCATTTTCCCAAACTGTGGCTCAAATCTCTGAATGGTTTGGGTGAGGCTCAAGGTACTAACTAACCCAGTTGTGGCATTTCCACTACATAGGGATGGCAGGATGTGAGGCCCTTTCTCAACTTAGCTTTGGCTTGGTTTCTGTGTGGGTAGTGCAGGGCCTAGGGTGCTTACCCACCCTTGTTGTGCCTTGGTCTCTGCATGGGTTGGGGTGCTTGGGCACTCATTTGGCCCCATTATGGCTTGGGTGTCCTGCACGTTGGGTGGGGCATGGGGTACTCATACATTCTGATTACAGTGAAGGATAGGCAGCACAAGACCACTGATGTTAACAGGCTAGAGGAAGAGAATCAAAAATCGGTATCATTGCCATTATCAGCAGCAAGTCAAGATGATATTGCAAAAATGACACTCTCCAGTGCTTCTGCCACCTGATAACGTATTTGCAGGTTTCTACCTGTCTGGAAGCTGCTTAAAATTAGTAAATGGGTCTTTGTCATTCATGGTCTAGGCACTTTTCGATTTGTTGCTTTGGTGCTGAATATCAGGACAAATGGGTTTTCACAAAAGAAAAATTTTGTGATTTGCAACGATATGGATGGAGCTGGGGAATATTATGCAAGCAAAATAAGTCAGAAGATAAATAAATGATTTCACTCACATATGGATTTTAAGAAACAAAACAAATGAGCAAAGTGGAGAATAGAGAGAGAGGTACAAACCAAGTAACAGATTCTGAACTATAGAGAACAAAGTGATGGTAACCAGAAGGGAGATGGGTGAGTGAATGGTTAGATGATTGAGATTAAGGAGTGCACTTGTGATGAGCACTAGGTGTTGTATGGAATTGTTGAATTACTATACTGTATACCAGAAACTAATATTAAACTGTATGTTAACTAAATAGACTTTAAATAAAAACTAAAAAAAAAAAAGAATAGAGAATTGTCTTCTTTTGATAATAGCTATCTATAAAAAACTGATAGAAAATGTCATACTTTCCCATTAAGTCAAGACAAATTAAGATCAAAAATTAAGATCAAGAATAAGGTTAGGATATACCAAAGACATCTTGATTTTTCTTTTTCTTTTACAATCCTTGTTAGATCTGGTTTACTCAAAAAATATCTAAAATATGACCACCTTTCATCAACTACACTGCTACCTCCCTGGTCCCAGCCACTGTTAACTCTCTTCTATAGAAAACATACATCACATCATGTTAAAACACATCACATCTGCTTAAAACTTTCAATCAAGGGATACATAGCATCTTTTGGGAGTGATTGAAATGTTTGGGAGTGATTGTGGCAGTAGTTTGACAAATATGAATATGTATATATATATACACATATATATAATATGTATATTATATATAATGTAATATATAATATATAATGTATTATACATATAATGTATAATATAATATATAATATAATCGCTGTGAGCACAAAGCTCTTTGTTTTGTTTACTAATATATCCCAAATTCCCAAGAAAGTGGCTGGCACTTGATATTTATTAAACAAGAAAATTAGTGTGACATTTATTTAAAAAATAGGAAGAAATGAATAAAATAATTGCTAGGCAGTTTTAAAAATCCAGATGATACTAGATAGTATAATTTTTAGTGTTCCCAGTTCATAAATACATTCATTGATTCATTGATTCATTCATTCATTCATCCATTCATTCATTAAAAAAGGGTAAAAAAAAAAAGCTGTCAAATAACTATTAAGGTGATATTTGACCTGGATCATGAAAGATAAGAAACATTTTGAAAGGCAAAGACAGTGGGGAAATTTGTATCCAAGTACACTCAACTAGTTAATAGGAGAACCAGGCTATAAAGTTTTATCATTAGATACAAGATAAGAGTATGATATTGAAAGGTGATATTAACTGAAGTGAAACATAGAATTTCCAGGAAGAATCCAGACAAAGTGAGTGATGGTAGAGACACAAGATTGGCAACTCACATAGTAAACATAATTAAAGCCTAAGGGGCATAAAAGCCACAATAGATTATTGTGATGCCTCTACACAGGTTTTCTTTTTGATATTAAACTATAAATTAAATGGAAATAAGGTGAACAAAGGCCTATGATTTTTAATAGTGTAGTTTCAAAAGATTTTTTTCCTTTATTGCATAACTGTGTTGATATGCTGTTGCTTTGCTGTGCTTCAAAAATGCAATTAGTCTACCTATTTCCCCTCAGTCGCCATTAGTTTTGATTTCTTCTTGTTGACATTTGGCTGTCAAGAACAAACTTTAATTCCAAGATCTCCCTTCTTTAGACAATGTTTCATCTTATGGAAAGTCCCAGAAACTCAAAAATCTTTCTCATATGGAAAAAATTCTGCCACTTATTATTCCCTGAATTGTCAAAATAATTTCATACTATCTTAGCTCAGGCTGCTATGACAAATACCATAGAGTGGGTGACTTAACACATATTTCTCACAATTTGATAGTCTAGAAGTCCATGATTGGGATATAAGCATGGCTGAGTTCTGATAAAAGACCTCTTCTTGGCTTATAGACACCACTTTCTTGATATATCATTGCATGGCATAGAAAGAGATCTGGTCTATTCATTCTCTTATAAGGGGACCAATCCCATCATGAGGACTCCACCCTTAGGACCTCATCTAAACCTAATTACCCCCTAAAATTCTCTACCTTCAAATATCATCATATTGGGCATTAAGGTTTCAGAATATGAATTTTAAGGACACACATACATTCAGTCCGTAGTAGTCACCCTTAAAGTATTAACTATGGTTTAACAGAAGCATTTAAAACTCTTAAAGCCAAAATATAAATGAATTAATGTCAAATATTTGGACTTGAGGTAATGTGAAATGCTTTAGAAAGTGGCATTTCCAGTAATTCTCTTAAACCACTATATGTAGATGAAAGTTATCCTATCTGTATTTTAGGCTACACACAGTCAACACTTCATCCTAATTATTTGAGAAGTATGATGTAGAAAAAAATACTGAACTATAAATCAAGAGTGTGAGTAATAAGACACATTTCTTATAGTAAAATAAAGGTACCTATAATAAATGGCCAAGAAATAGAAACATAATTTATACAGGAGGAAATAAATAAATATAAGAAATAAAATTATTAAAAAATATTGACTATGGGGTGCCTGGGTGGCTCAGTCAGTTAAGCATCTGACTTCAACTCAAGTCATGATCTCATGGTTCGTGAGTTCAGGCCCCATGTCAGGCTCTATGCTGGCAGCTCGGAGCCTGGAGCCTGCTTTGGATTCTGTGTCTCCCTCTCTCTCTGCCCCTCCTCCACTCGTGCTCTGTCTCTCTCTCAAAAATAAATAATAAAACATTTAAAAATTAAAAAAAAATATATTGACCATGGTTAGTAATGAAAACAATCCTATGAGATCATTTCTCATATAATAATGAAGTAAAGATATAATAATACATACCTAAATTATATAAATATAACAAATTTTATATGTACTATGTGTTTAAGATATCTTATATATCTCACAGAGTTCTTGAGGCTTTAAGGATGGTGGTACTTTTATTCACTGCTGACGCAAAAGAACAGTGTAAACTGGTTTAACCTTCCTCTAGAATTATATGGAACTATGAAGGAAGAGTCGTAAATGTGGTAATACTATTTGACTCAGTAATCCCATTACTTGAAATGTATTGTAATAAAAATATCAGCAGATGGATAAACAAACTCTAGGAATAAAGACAATGATTACAATACAGTCTGTAAAAGAAAAACTTTGGAATTAAACTAAAGGTATCAAATTAGGAGAATGGTTTAGTAAAATATATATAATCATATGCATTCATTGAAATAATTATAAAACATTGATAATTAAAGGAAAAAGTTCATATTATACTTTTTTTTTTTTAATTTTTTTTTCCAACGTTTATTTATTTTTGGGACAGAGAGAGACAGAGCATGAACGGGGGAGGGGCAGAGAGAGAGGGAGACACAGAATCGGAAACAGGCTCCAGGCTCTGAGCCATCAGCCCAGAGCCTGACGCGGGGCTCGAACTCACGGACCGCGAGGTCGTGACCTGGCTGAAGTCGGAGGCTTAACCGACTGCGCCACCCAGGCGCCCCTATACTTTTAAGAGATAAAAACAGGAAAAAAATACTATGGGATCACAACTAAGCAAAAATCTGCATGTTTCTGAACAAAGATAGTAATATGCAAATATGAATATATTTATATTAGTAGGGTGGAATTTGAAGTGACTTTCCATTATTGTTAACTATTTTTTGTGTTTTTATATTATATTATCAATTTCAAAAGTTCTGGTCTATTAAAATAGTTGTGAGATCTTAGATACATAATGTACTTTGATAGAACTTGGTTCCTACACAAATCCTTATTGTTGGATGAGTATTCAGTACTTCTCACCTTTTGGTGAACATTAGGAGCACCCAGGGAAGTTGTTGAACATGCAAATTTCTGACTCCATCTCAGACTTCGACTTGATAAGTCTGGGGTGGAGTCCAGGGACCTGCATTTTTAATAAGAAATAATAAAAATGATATCCAAGTTCCTTTCACTTGTGACATTATGTGTTTTGGTGTGGTCTCTAAAAAACCAGGAACTCTCCATAATTAATAGATAAATAATATTTTACTTTTTATTTTCTTTTTTTCCTTTTTTTACTTTATTCCTCAGCCTGAAGCAAAGTGGATTCATAAGCTGCTTTAAAGAAAAAGAAAAAGAAAAAAAAAAAAGAACAACTGAGCACTTGGTTTCACAGAATGGCCTTACCACAGTAAACACTGGCTACTCCCAAATGATCATTTCTACTTGTGTGGAACTGTAATAAATAAAAACAAGTCTTCCATGAATCCCAGTGTTGCACCCACATGACTCCTGAAACAGAATGCTACAGGCATCAGTGACAGTCACAACAAAGTTTATTGCAATAAGAGGCAAGGCCGACAGATCGGGATGACACTCTTGATCAGAGTGTGGCCTTGAACAGCTGGGGTACACAGTTTTTATAGCCTACCACATCGTCTTATCACCACCTGGGAACAGAACAAAGAAATAGTTCCCAGATGGGGGTGGAAACGGTTCAGACATGCCCTTGCCCCAATCCAATCAAACACTAATCCAGTTGATTTTCCTTGAACATTTGTTCCTTTGATTGATAGGACAAGGCTGTTATCTCTTAACCTACAGTATCCAAACAAAGCTGTTATTTCTCAAAGCTACAGGTTAGCCCTACACTACAATTTAACGCTTACACCAGGAGCTGATTTTTTTGTGTATAATTTATAGAGGTAATTTTAGTGGTACATGCCTTATTAAATGCTTGAACTATTCAAGCCAAAATGCTGTAGCATTTTACCCCATGTTCTGAAACTTTAATTAGAAACCATTTCTAAATTTAGGTTAAAACTTTACAATCTCCATTTGAATACATTTATCATGTTTTGTTTTATCTACCTTTTCTTAGCGTTAAGAAAAAGTAAACAGATAATGGAAGGAAAGAATCATATATTTTACACCCTTAAAAGAAATAAAGAGATATATGTAGAGAGTAACCCCCACTTCCTACATACATAAAGACCTCTAAATGTAATCATTTACCTTTAGACACTTTTTCTTTAGTTTATGACTTTATTTAATGATAATCTGCAAGTTACCCTGAAAGAATAACACATATTTGTCAATTATTTTACATATTTCCATGAATATGCTTGTAATGTTTATTCCTGAAAGCTGTAAAGGGGTGTGGAAAGAAAGACAGTCTAATCTGAAGTTGGATTAGATTAGAGTAGATAATCGTCTTTGTCTGTCTTAGCTGCTATAACAAAAATACCATAAATTGGGTAGCTCATAAACAAATTTATTTCTCACAATTCTAGAGGCTGGGTAGTCCAAGATCAAGGGACCAGAAAATTCAGGGTCTTGTGAGAGCCTACCTTCTGGTTCATAGACCTCCCTTATCACTGTGTCCTCACATAATGGAAGGGGACTAGGGAGCTCTGGGTTTTCTTTTATAAAAACACTAATTCCTTTCTTGAGGGCTCTGCTCCCCCAAAGCACTTCTCAAAGGCTCTACCTTTGGGGTTTTAAGCCCCACTCTAATGCCACCACATTGGGGATTAAGATTTTAATATATGAATTTTGAGAAAACACAAATATCCTATCTATTGAAATAACAAATATATAGATTGTTTGAGAGAACACAAATATCCTATCTATTGAAACAACAAATATATAGATACAGCTATAGACAGATATAAATATGGAGAACCCCTTCATTCCATACAGTCTGACTTCTGCCTTTTGTTATAACCTTGTCCTCCATTTACTCAGAAATTACTACATTTCAGATCCAATTCTTAAAGAGGTGTCATTTTTCTAACCCATTTGATAACTTTACACATTCCCTAAAGACACAAAAAAGTTTTTTATTGCAACATTGTAAATATGAAAAGTTTAAAAACAGTCCATTTATCTGTCATTAAATGATTATTTGAATATATAACAGTATTTCTTTGTAATGGAATGCCACATGAATCTGAAAAGGAATAAAGAAGCTCTCTATGTAGTGAGATGGAAAGATCTTTTACTTAAGTTTTAGTGAAAAAAATCAAGGTGAATAAGAGACTATATGCTATAGAAGCTATAGTATTTTTTAAAAGAGAGAAGAGAGAATGCATGTGTGTGAATGTGTGAGTGTGTGTGTACCTGTATTTCCTAAAAGAAGCTCTTGAATGATATAAAATAAAATAATAAAAGCAATTACCTATAAAGAATAAGTGATGTTGAAGAAATAAATGAGAAACAGGGATGAAATTTAGACCCAATACCAATATTCAGCAAGTACACAAGGATAGATAAAATACTTCCAAAACAGTTGGCAAATGGCAGCTAGAGAATTTATCCTCCACCTGAAATGTCTCTCTGGACTTCTACCCTAGAGCACCAGCGATCCTCCAGGAATTACAAGCTAAGGGATAATGAAAAATATAAATGACTTACTAAGGGAACCAGTGGTGAAAGGTAAAGGAGAAAAGGAGAAAGAGTAGGTAGGGAGAATCTTCAGATTACCATGCAGTTGTGACCCATGTTAAAAGAGAAAGAAAAAGGAAAGCTGGAAGGAAGAGCCTGAGACTGTGATGCAGCTCAGAGTCTCAACCAGGCCAGCGAAAAGCCATGAGTAAATACTACTCTTTAGAAGAGTTTGTGTTGGTAAGGAATATCCTGACCTTTGTACCCCCATGGTGCTAAATCATTAGCTGGAAGCAATCCAGTGAAAGAGTGGCCCTGGCTTGCACACTGGTGGATCTCAAATTTTCAGTAGCTTGAGGCTATCAGTATCTACACTCCTCATAGCACAATCTTTCTTTTTTTTTAAAAGAAGGGATTATCTTGATATGCATGTTTTTAATGTTTATTTCTGAGACAGAGAGAGAGCATTAGTCGGGTAGGGGCAGAGAGAGAGAGAGAGGGAGACACAGAATCAGAAGCAGACTCCAGGCTCTGAGCTGTCAGCACAGAGCCCGATGCAGGGCTGGAACTCACAGACCACGAGATCATGACCTGAGCCGAAGTCGGAGGCTCAACCGACTGAGCCACCCAGGCGCCCCAATCTTTCTTGAAGTGAGATCTGAGCAGCAAACTCAGTCACTACACAGATTAATTTATCTATCCATACTCATCCCTCCAACGCTCCTGTGGACTTCTTCTTAGGGAGAAAAGTGGAAAAACAATAGCCTTCATCACTGTTGTTGATGTTAGGGCCACAATTGGCTGACTTACTATGCTGTCCATTCTTTCTCTTCATCCTCAGGTATTGCTTCTATAGATCTTGCTGCCTTACCTGGTGGTACAACCTCCAATTTCATTCCAGAAGGGTCTGAGACCCTAGTAATCATACCCTCTTCAAACTCCATTCATAGTAAAAAATGGAAGTACCAAGTACCACAGTACCAAGAGATCATGTGCCTTTCACAGATATTCTTTCTCTCTTATATTGTAAAAAGGAACTCTATCTCCTCTTGCTGATCAGATTAAATTACCCTGTCAAGGTGGTGATTTTTCTTCACAATAGCTGGCCTCTAAACATAAGGAGTCCAAAGTTACCTGTCAATAGACATAACTTGCACTTCACTGGGACTATTGCTATTTCCCCTGTCAAGAATATGTTCCTTTTAGGAGGATTAGGACTTATAACACTACATTGGCAAGAACTGATGTAACAAGAAGAACTCAAGCTCTAGTGAGCCATTGAGAGGGATAGTAAGTGAGGCCACTCCTTAGTATATCACTTCATTTCTAAGCACATATGCTCTCCCTATTCAAGGCACACCATTACATAGAAGTTGCTGTTTTCATGCATGCACTGCATCTTAAAGAATGTCACTCAATTTTGAAGAATATTGCACCCAAGTTAATATTTTATTATGCCTTCAATAGGTCATTCAGGCTCTCTCTGAAGACAGTTGATTCTGGATAGTGCAATATGTATTACCAGTGAATCTCTTGGCCAGTTTACTCCTACTTCTCCTTTACTGTGAAGTGAATCCTCTGGTTAGATACTATACTCCTTTAAGGCCATCCCTGAGTGTGGCTGTAATGTAGGTACCATATATTTTTAGCTTGAACCCACAAACTAAACCAACCTATTTATGAATGAATTTCAGGCTTTCTCTCCTTATTCAAATATTCACAGGTGTAAGCAGAGGGAGGGTGCTAGTGCAAGTATGTTGGATGACATAGGGGTCTGTGTAACCTGTTCATAAAATTTATTTATAACTTCTGGTCCTGCTTAGACTTGATCCCAGAATGACCATGTCCATTTTATGATGGATAGATGCTGGGCCTTCGTGAGTTTTTGATTAGGAAAAATTCTTCAACAGAATCTGGATTATGATTGGCAGTTCTGGATTCATAATCATTTGGTATCCTATTGTAAAACATTTTGTCTCTATTATAGTCCAGTACCATGCCAAGAGTTGTCTGTTAAAGGGCATATAATTCTTGGATATAGACACCATGGCTTTGCTCCAGAAACCCAGGGGCTTTAATTGAGATTCTCACACTGGCACCTGTCAGAAACACCACATTGCACCTTTCTCTATCACTTACACCTCCAAAACCAGAGAATTTTCTTCATTCTGTGCCACAAGCAGCAGGGATACTGACACCACAACTTGGGCTTATTATCAAGCCCTTTTCTGTTTCAAGGCCCCATTGAAATCTGTCAGCCTTTAGTGTCACCCAGTAAGTCAAATGGAGCAGTATTCTTTTGTGTGGACTGTGTTACTCCAGAATCCAAAGAAGACCACCAGACAATGTATTTCTTTCTGCTTAGTAATAAATGCCAGACACAACTTTTTTTTTTTCTGTAGAGGGGCAGTGTCTCAGCATGTCTTTGACCACTGGACTAAAAGTTTTAGTAAAATTGCAAGTTCCTGAATATTTCTATTATTTGTCCTCCATTCTCTGAAATAAATGTCCTTTAATAAAGCCTTCCAGCATATTTTTCAATTTTTTTATTATCCTGCCTAATCAGCATAATGCCACTGATGTAATATTCTATAGGGTATACAGATGTTTCAGAATAGTTTAGACTATATTATGAGAAAGAATGGGAGATTTAACATAAATCTCAGCAAAGTGTAAATGCATATCATTGCCTCATATGATTGTGAACTGTTTTCTGTTTCCCTTTTCTGAATAAATAGAAAATAATTTCCCAAATCAGTGTATGTGAGGTCTTTCCAAGCTGATCTAGCAACAACACCATGTCTAGCAGAGCAGCTACATTTGGGAATACCACCTGGATGAACTTGTAGTAGTTTATAGTCATTCTCCATGATTCATCCAG